AAAAATTGGGGTGGAAATGGGAAAAAACGGCAGCGGAACGAAGCGAAAATGATGAAAAATAGCTCAAAATTGACCCTGAAATGAACCCAAAAATGGTCCCAAAATATCCCAAAAATGACCCAAAAATTATCCAAAAATAAGAAAAAAAAAGGTAAAAAAAAAATGATCCAAAGTGGTCCCAAAATCACCAAAAAAAGATCTTAAGTTGGCATAAAAATGACCCAAAAATGTCTTAAAATTGCCCTAAAAATGGCCAAAAATGGCCATAAAGTGACCCAAAAATGGGCCCAAAATTAAAAGGGCCCTAAAATGGCAGAAAATTAACCCAAAATTGTCCAAAAAAAAGAGGTTCCAAAATGAGCCCATAATTTGCCAAAAATGGCTATAAAATGAAAAATTAAAAGTCCCAAAATGGCTCCAAAATGACCCAAAAATGGTGAAAAAATGACAAAAAATGGTGAAAAAATGACCCAAAATTGACCCAAAAATGACACAAAATGACCCCAAAAAATGGCTCAAAATGGTCTTAAAATGACCCAAAAATGGGCCAAAAAATTACCAAAAATTGACCATAAATGGACAAAATTGACCTAAAAATTGTCCCAAAAAAAGTCCCAAAATGACCTATAAAATGGTCTAAAAAATGTCCCAAAAAAATTTTTAAAAGCCCCAAAATTGACAAAAAATTACACCCAAATGACCAAAAAATGACCCAAAATTGACCCAAAAATGACAAAATTGCTCCAAAAAAATGGCCCAAAATGGTCTTAAAATGACCCAAAAATGGTGAAAAAATGACAAAAAAAAGGTCAAAAAATGACCCAAAATTGACCCAAAAATGACAAAATTGCTCCAAAAAAATGGCCCAAAATGGTCTTAAAATGACCCAAAAATGGGCCAAAAAATTACCAAAAATTGACAATAAATTGACGAATTTGACCTAAAAATTGTCAAAAAAAAGTCCCAAAATGACCCAAAAATGGGCCAAAAAATTACCAAAAATTGACCAAATTGACCTAAAAATTGTCCAAAAAAATGTCCCAAAATGACCCAAAAAATGGTCTAAAAAATGTCCCAAAAAAATTTTTAAAAGCCCCAAAATTGACAAAAAATTACACCCAAATGACCCAAAAAATGACCAAAATTGGCCAAAACAAATGATCCTAAAATGGCACAAAAAGTGACCAAAAAATTACCCCAAAAAATGGCCCAAAATGGTCTTAAAATGACCCAAAAATGGGCCAAAAAATTACCAAAAATTGACCAAATTGACCTAAAAATTGTCCAAAAAAATGTCCCAAAATGACCCAAAAAATGGTCTAAAAAAAATGACCCAAAAGGACCCAAAATGTCCCAGAAAAGTTTTAAAAGGGCCCCAAAATTGACAAAAAATTGCACCCAAATGACCAAAAAAATGACCAAAATTGGCCAAAACAAATGATCCTAAAATGGCACAAAAAGTGACCAAAAAATTACCTCAAAAAATGGCACAAAATGGTCTTAAAATGACCCAAAAATGGGCCAAAAAATTACCAAAAATTGACAATAAATTGACGAATTTGACCTAAAAATTGTCAAAAAAAAGTCCCAAAATGACCCAAAAAATGGTCTAAAAAATGTCCCAAAAAATTTTTAATAAGCCCCAAAATTGACAAAACATTGCACCCAAATGACCCAAAAAATGACCAAAATTGGCCAAAACAAATGATCCTAAAATGGCACAAAAAGTGACCAAAAAATTACCCCAAAAAATGGCCCAAAATGGTCTTAAAATGACCCAAAAATGGGCCAAAAAATTACCAAAAATTGACCAAATTGACCTAAAAATTGTCCAAAAAAATGTCCCAAAATGACCCAAAAAATGGTCTAAAAAAAATGACCCAAAAGGACCCAAAATGTCCCAGAAAAGTTTTAAAAGGGCCCCAAAATTGACAAAAAATTGCACCCAAATGACCAAAAAAATGACCAAAATTGGCCAAAACAAATGATCCTAAAATGGCAGAAAAAAATACCTCAAAAATTGGCACAAAATCGCCCAAAAATGACCCCAAAATTTTCCAGAACGGGGTCTCAAAATGACCCAAAAATGGGAAAAAATTAACATAAAATTGCCCCAAAAATGGTCCTAAAAAAGACTTAGCAGTGACCAAAAAATGGTTCTAAAATGACACCAAAAATGGCCAAAAATGGCCAAAAAAAGATTTTAAAATGGAAAAAAAATGACCCAAAATGGTCCAGAAAAAGATCGAAGAATGGTTTTAAAATGACCCAAAAATGGTTCTAAAATGACCTGAAAATGGCCCAGAAAACAACAAAAAATTTCCTAAAAATGGCCCAAAAATAAAAGACCCAGAAATTACCCCAAAATTGTCCTTAAATTACTCAAAATGGCCAAAAATGTCCTAAAAATGGTCCCAAAATGGCTCAAAAATGACCCTAAAATGGACAAAAATTATCCAAAATGGCCCTGAAATGACCCAAAAAAAATTCCTAAAATGGCACCAAAAATGACCAAAAAATTTCCCTAAAATGACTCAAAGAATGAGCCGAAAATTACCCAAAATTGACACAAAATGACCCCAAAAAATGGTCTTAAAAATGACTCAGAATGGGCAAAAAAGGGATTGCAAAATGGACCAAAAATGACCCAAAAATCTCCCTAAAATGATAAAAAATGACCCAAAGAAATGGCAAAAAATGGCCCTAAAATGGTCCTAAAATGACTCAAAAATGGACCAAAAAATGCTAAAAATTAACCATAAAATGGCCCAAAATATGACAGAAATTGACCCAAAAATTGTCAAACAAATGGTCCCAAAATGGCCCAAAAATGGCCAAAAATGGCCATATAATTTGCCAAAAAGAAGTCCCAAAATCAACTCAAAATGGTCCCAAAATGACCCAAAATAACTCAAAAAATGACCCAAAAATGATCCTAAAATGGCACAAAAAATGACCAGAAAATGGCTCAAAAATTACCCAAAAAATGATTAAAAATGACTCAAAAATTACCCAAAAATGATTTAAAATGACCCAAAAATTACCCAAAAATGGCCCTAAAATGACCCAAAAAATGGTCCCTAAATGAACTGAAAATGCCAAAAAAATTGTCCCAAAATTGACCAAATTTGACCCTAAAATAGCCCAAAAAATTGTCCCAAAATGACCAAAAAAACAGCAAAAAAATGTCCATAAAATTGGCAAAAATGACCCAAAAATGGACAAAAAATCACCCAAAATGACGCAAAAAATCCCCAAATTGATCCGAAATCACCAAAATGACCCAAAAATTATCAAAAATGACCAAAATTTAACAAAACTACCAAAAATTACCCAAAAATCACCAAAACTCACCCCAAAAATGCCAAAAAATGCCCCAAAATTGCCCAAAATGGCCCAAAACCGCCCCCAAATTAAGCCCCGCCCCTTTTGTGACCTCATTGATGAGGTCATCGTCGTCGTCCTTGACCTCGATGCTCATTGGCTGCCGCGGGAAGCGCCGGAAGACGTCGACCAATCGGGGAATTCGGCGATCGCAGCCGGAGGAGAACGAGCCTGAAAGGGGCGGGGCTTGTGGAGGGGCGGGGCTAAACCTCGTTAGGCCACGCCCCCATTTAAAAAATTCCAGCGATTTTGGGGTTAAAAATTGGAATTTTGGGAAATTTTGTGGGGTGGGGGAGGGGCTGAGGTGTGGGGGAGGGGAGGGTTTGCCCAGAATTCCCAAAATTGCCCAAAATTCCCATTTTCCCACCCAAAATTCCTCCAAAATTCCCATTTTTCCACCCAAAATTCCTCCAAAATTCCCATTTTTCCACCCAAAATTCCTCCAAAATTCCCATTTTCCCACCCAAAATTCCTCCACAATTCCCATTTTTTCACCCAAAAATTCTCATTTTCCCACCAAAAACTCCCCAAAATTTCAAAATTTTGACCCAAAATTCCCATTTTTCTACCAAAATTTTCCCAAAATTCACATTTTTTAACCCTAATTTCTGTAAACTTTCATTTTTAACCTCAAATTCCCTTTTACTCACGTGAAATTCCCAAAATTCCAAATTTTTTAACCAAAACAGTCCCAAAAATTTCCGATTTTTTGTCTCCACATTTTCCATTTTTTCTGCCAAAAATCTCCTAAAATTCAGATTTTTTCCCCAAAAATTCCCATTTTTAACCCCAAATTTTCCCAAAATTTGGGAATTCCCCTTTTTTTCCACCAAAACTTTCCCAAAATTTCCATTTTTTAACTGAAATTATCACAAATTTTCCTTTTTTTACCCCAAAATTCCCTTGAATTTCCCATATTTTGACCCAACATTTTCCCAAAATTCCCAATTTTCTACCTAAATTTCCCAAATTTTCCCAAAATTTCCATTTTTTACCCAAATTACCCCAAATTTCCCATTTTTAACCCAAAATTCCCATTTTTCTACTCAAAATTCCAATTTTCAACTCAAATTTCTCCACTATTCCCCTCTTTTGACCCAAAATTTCCCAAAATTCCTCTTTTTTCACCTCAAAATTCCCCAAATTTTCCCCAAAATTTCAATTTTTAACCCAAATTATCCCAAAATTCCCCTTTTCTGACCCAAAATTTTCCCAAATTTCCAAAATTTTAACCCAAAATTCCCCTTTTTTATCCCTGAAATTCCCCAAATGATCCCAAAAATTTCATTTTAACCTAAATTCTCCCAAAAATTCCCAAATTTTAACCCAAATTTCCCAAAACTCTCCATTTTTTTCTCCCAAATTTCCCATTTTTTCCACCCAAAATTTCTCATTTTTAAAACCAAATTTTCCCCAAAATTCCCAATTTTTAACCCAAGTTTCTCTTTTTTCACCCCCAAATTTTCTTTTAACCCAAATTTCCCCAAAATTCCCGATTTTTGACCCGAATTTTCCCAAATTTCTTTTTTCACCCCCAAATTTTCCCCAAATTCCCATTTTTTAACCCAAATTTCCCCAAAATTCCCAAATTTTGACCAAAATTTTCCCAAATTTCTCTTTCTTCACCCCCAAATTCCCCAAATTTTCCCAAAATTCCCATTTTTTAACCCAAATTGCCCCAAAATTCCCAATTTTTGACCCAAATTTTCCCAAATTTCTCTTTTTTCACCCCAAAATTTTCCCCAAATTCCCATTTTTTGACCCAAATTGCCCCAAAATTCCGATTTTTCCTCACCTGGAGAAAACGTCACCTCCAGGGGGCTCTGGTAGGGGGGGAGGTCCTGGGGGGGGGTAATTAACAGCTAATTAGGGTTAATTGATCGTTAATTAGGGCTAATTAACAATTAATCAAGATTAATCAATGGTTAATTAGGGTTAATTAATGGTTCATTAGGGTTAATCAATGGTTAATTAGGGTAAATTAATGTTAATGGTGCTAAATTAAGGGTTAATTAAGGTTAATTAATAGTTCATTAGAGAAAATTGGTATTAATTACAAATTAACTACAGCTAATTCACTGTTACCATTAATTTGCAGCAATTACCATTAATCAACATTAATTAACATTAATTTATTACCTAATTCAATTCATTAACACCAATTTAATTACCACTAATTTAATTAGTTAACTAATAAAATTTTACATTATTAATTACCCCTTTATACCATTAATTACCATTAATACCCACTAATTACCTTTAATTAGCAATTATTTGAGCTTATCACCTCTAATTATTCTTCATTACCATTCATTAGCATCCATTACCATTAATTACAATTAATTACCATTCATTACCATTAATTTGCACTTATTACCATTTATTCGACTAATTAACACTCATTAGCCCCAATTACCATTAATTATCAGTAATTAAAATGAATTGCTATATATTACTATTAATTACCACTAACGACCTTTAATTACCATTAATTACCATTCACTTGATCTAATTATCATTCATTAGCCCCAATTACCATTAATTACCAATAACCACAATTTATTAGAATTAATTAGAATTTATTACCATTAATTACCCATGATTACCATTAATTACCACTAATTACCACTAACTACAATTTATCACCATTAATTACCACTAATTACCATTCATTACCACTAATAACCACTGATTGCCACTTATTACCACTAATTAGCATTTATTACCACTACTAACCATTAATTACACTTAATTACCATTAGTCAACCACTAATTACAATTTATTTCCACTAATTACAATTTATTCCCACTAATTACAATTTATTCCCGCTAATTACAATTTATTCCCACTAATTACAATTTCTCCCCTCTAACTACCACTAATTCCAATTAAAAACCATTATTAACCCCCAATTCCCATTAATTACCCGTTATTACCGTTAATCACCCCCAATTCCCATTAATTACTACCAACACCCATTAATTACCCCAATCCCCGCTAATTAACCAAACCCAATCAACCCTCTCCCCCCATCCCCACATTCACCAACCCCTAATTAACCCCAAACCCCCTAATTACGCTTAATCACCACTAATTAACCACTAATTAATTAACTAATTAACCTTGTAATCGGTCTGGGAGACGTCAAGATGGCGGCCGCTCTGCCGCCATAGCTCCCGGTCGTGACAGACGACGACGACGCCGTCGCGGGTGCGGCGCACGTCCAGCTCCAGCCAATCACAGCCCTGCGCCACCGCGCTGGGGGCGGGGCCGAAAGGAAAAGGGGCGGGGCTTAAATCTGCAACCAATTATAGGCCTCGGAGCTGGTGGTGTGGGCGTGGTCACAGAAAGAGAGGTGGAGCTTAGGTAGAAAGCCAATCACAGCCCTTGGTGATGGCGGTGGGGGCGTGGCCAAAGGAAAAGGGGGCGGGGCTTAAGTATAAAGTTAATCTCAGCCATTGGTGCCAACGGTGGGGGCGTGGCCAAAGGAAAAGGGGCGGGGCTTAAGTAAAAAGTTAATCTCAGCCCTTGGTGCTAACAGTGGGGGCGTGGCCAAAGGAAAAGGGGGCGGGGCTTAACTATAAATTTAATCTCAGCCATTGGTGCTAAAGGTGGGGGTGTGGGGCGTGGCCAAAGGAAAAGGGGCGGGGCTTAAGAATAAAGTCAATTAAATACCCTGGAGAGTGTGGTGGGGGCGTGACCAATAAAAAGGGGCGTGGCTTAGCTGTAAAGTAAGTTAAAGACCCTGGAGAGTGTGGTGGGGGCGTGGCCACAGAAAACGGGGCGGGGTTAAGCCATACAGCCAATTAGAGAGCTCAGTGCTGGCGGTGGGGGCGTGGCCAAAGGAAAAGGGGCGGGGTTAAGATATTCAGCCAATTAGAGGGACCAGAGACTACACAGTGGGCGTGGCTTGAAGAAATGGGTGGGGTTAAGATAGCCAGCCAATCAGAGGACTCGCAGCTTGTGTTGTGGGCGTGGCCAAAGGAAAAGGGGGCGGACTTTAGCAATAGAGACAATTTGTGTCCCTGGTGCTGGCAGTGGGGTGTGGCCAAGAAAAAAGGGGGCGGGGTTAAGATATTCAGCCAATCAAAGACAGTGCAGGGGGCGGAGCCACTAGAAAGGGGGCGGGGTTTAGAATTGTACCCAATTATAGCGATTAGCAATCGCACTGGGGGTGGGGACAGGGGGAAAGGGGGCGTGGCTTTGAGGTACAGCCAATTGGGGGCCTCAGAGCCCTTGGGGGCGTGGCCAAGGAAGGGGGCGTGGCCAAGGAAGGGGCGTGGCCAAGGGAAGGGGGCGTGGCCTCACTTCTCGAAAGCCTCCATGGTGTTCTCGATCCGCTCCCCGGCACCTGTGGGGGTTAATTAGGGCTAATTAGGGCTAATTAAGCGTTAATTAAGGGTTAATTAGAGCTAATTAAGGATTCCTCCTGGCCCCTCCCCCCCATTTTTCCCAGACCACTCCCCCACCCTGCAAAGCCACGCCCCCAAACCCCTCTGCCTCTTTTTTGCCCCTCTCCCTTTAGCGCGGGAACACGGGGCATTTCCGCCTCGGTACCCACAATGCACCGCGGGGCGCCGCAATGGCAGCGCTGGGGGCTCGGGCTGGGAGCACTGGGAGCGCTGGGAGCCAAACTGGGAGCGCTAGGAGCCGAACTGGGAGAACTGGGGGCCAAACTGGGAGCACTGGGAGCCAAATTGGGAGCGCTGGGAGCCAAACTGGGAGCGCTGGGAGCCAAACTGGGAGCACTGGGAGCTCAAATTGGGAGCAGTGGGGGCGCTGGGAGCCAAACTGGGAGAACTGGGAGCTCAAAGTGGGAGCGCCGGGAGCATTGCGGAAATGAGGGGTTACTTCCTCCTCGGTCCCCACAATGCATTGCGTGAACACGGGGCATTTCCGCCTCGGTACCCACAATGCACCGCGAGGAGCCGCAATGGCAGCGCTGGGGGCTCGGACTGGCAGCACCTCCCAGCTAAATCACGTCAGATTTATGCAAATTTATGCAAATTAAGCCAATCCTACAGGCTCCCTTTGCCTGAGGATGAAGTCATGGCATGTAAATGAGGGAGGTGCGTTGCCTTTATGCAAATTTATGCAAATCTACCCCCATTGCAAAGCACTCACGCAAGGATGACATCACTGCTACATGCAAATGAGGGGCGTTGGTTGCCTCTATGCAAATTTATGCAAATCAAACCCCACTCCAAAGCTGTCCCCCCCCAATGAAGTCAAAGCTGTATGTAAATGAGGGATGTTTGTAGCTTTTATGCAAATTTACGCAAATAAACCACACCCCAAAGTTTCTCTCAGCTAATGACGCCATCAAAATATGCAAATGAGGAAAGTATATTGTGTTCTATGCAAATTTATGCAAATAAGCCACACCCCAAATCAGTCCTTGCCCAAGGAAGACATCACCCCATATGCAAATTAGGAATGTTTATTGCTCCTATGCAAATTTATGCAAAGTAATCCCACCCAGAGCTGCCCTGAATGAATGACATCACCACAATATGCAAATGAGGAATGTTTATTGCCTTTTTATGCAAACTTATGCAAATGAGCGCCACCTCCGCCCTCTTCCGCCTCCATTTCAGGCCCTAAAGGGGGCGTGGCTTCGACCAATCAGAGCCGGGCTGTGGGAATTTATGCAAATCCATGTAAATGAAGCCGAGATGGGGGAAATGGGTATGCAGATTTATGCTAATGAGCCGCGCTCCGCCTCCCACTGCTCCGGGGTCAGCGTCCGCTGCTCCAGGGCGTGGATCCGGCCCAGCTCCTCCTTCAGCGCCTCGTTAACGAGCCTGCGGTTAATTCGCCGCTAATTAGCCCCGTTAATTAATTAATTAACCGCTCAATAACCCCTTCACTAACCCCCATCATATAATTAATTAACCCATTAATTAGTTAATGCATCTGTTAAAAACCCTCATTAACCTCCCTCCCTCCATTGATTAATTAATCCATTAATTAATCCATTAATTAATTCATCCATGAAAACCCCTCATTAAACCCCTCACATAATTAAGTAATCCATTCATTAATTATTCCATCCATGCGTCCAATTAATCAATTCATCCCATTAATTAACCCATCTGTTAAAATCCCTCATTATCCCCCCTTATGCCATTAATTAATCCTGTAATTAATTTACCAATCCATAAAGTCCCTCATTAACCCCCTTGCTCCATTAATTAATCCATTAATTAATCAATTAATTAATTAATCCATTAACTAATCCATTAATTAATCAACCAATCCATTACACCCCCTAATTAAATGCCCCAACTTTATGAATTATCCCCTTAATTAAAGCCCCTCATTAACCTCCCCCAGTCCATTTAGACCCCGCCCCCTTTGCCACACCCACTTTAAACCCCGCCTACCTCACCCAGTCCCATTCAAGCCCCGCCCCTTCACAATTCAATTCTCATTTAAGCCCCACCCATTTCCTCATTTAAGCCCCGCCCCTT